CTTAACATAAATCAGATGAAAACATATACAAGATACACCATGAATAACTATCCATAAGAGAGCAATGCCAGAATTTAATATTGATGATTAAAAGTGAAGGTAATGACTTTTTCAATTACCTGTACTAAATTCTGGCATGAATGAATTAACTGATATGTTTCTTCTATTCATACAACAGAACCCAGCCCCTGCTCACTTAGGCATGACCTTCCCAGAATTGCTTTCCTGTGGACAGTTATTTGAGGCACACTCTGTATGATGAATATCATAGGAGAAAAAGCCATCATTTTGAAAAATAAAATAATCATGTAAATAGTGAATAAATTAGCAAGTTAAAACAAGTAATATATAAAAAGACAAAGATCCTATTCCAAAAGTCTAGAAATACATCCAAAAAGGTATTAAAAATTACAATATGGAGAATTTTTTAATACAAATACAGTGGTACCTGCACATTATTAATTCTTATAAAATTGGATTATTTTTGAAATAGACTTGTCGTCAAACATGATTACAAATGGAATTATGAATCTTAAATGTTTGCAATTTCAATCTGTTTTAGTCATGATGCACTTCATAGAATATAGGGATAGTCTCTAACACTATTACTTTCATAAATTATTTATAGATAAAATTTTATTATTATTTTTTGATTTCAAATTGATTTTTTATATTGTATAACAGCTTTCTAGTTTTTACATTATACATTTTTTCATAAAATTTTAATATATGTATTTAATACTATTGATATTGAATAAATTCCATCACAAAAATTTACAATATTGCACTACTTTTTGGATTTAAAAAAGAAAAATTCTATAGATTTCATATATAGATTTTTGCTATCATTAACTTATAAAATTTATTGTTTAGTATGTTCACTTTAGCATGATTTACAGATGAGTTAAATTGCAAGTTTTTTGAAAAACATTTATAAAAAATATCATTTACCATCAGAAAATCATGCCTGCGCCATCCATATTTGAATTAATGAAACCTGTAATATACATATAATTTTCAATTTTAATGTTTTTATCATTGATCCAATTTTAAAATATTGAGTATTTTTATTATAACTTCAATTTTTAAGAATTTTAAGCATTAATTTAATTAGAAAGAAATAATTTATAAACGTAAATTATTATTAGTTTATCATACAACATGATCTATCTACTATGTTTTAAAATTAATTGAAATTAATGTAACATGTTATTTGTAAACACTGCATAATATTAACTAAACATTATCTAAATTATTTTTATAACATAAATCAGTGGAATCAATAATTGAAACTACTATAAAATTAAAAAAAAAGTCAACCAAAATATTGTAAGATGCTGTTGCAATATTCAAGTTAAAGTTAAGTAAACACATCAGGAATCATTGGATATATCTGTCAATCAAAAAGCTATTTGACTGTGAGATGTAAAAATGTATTAACAAGAAATTAATGTTTTATAGTCTACAATGTAATATCGTTGTCATAATATTTATTTCAGATGATTAATTCAGATGATTCTTATTGCAAAAATTAAAATATATTTATTTGTAAACTGAATAGCTGATAAAAATTGTGAATTAGATTGTTTAATAATCTAATAATTAAACATTTTTTATTATTTATGTAATTATGATAAATTTATTTCATGTAATATGATTGATAAAATTTTTGTGCTATAATTAATGCACAATATTTTAATTATTTCAATAATTAAAATAATACTGGTATGAAATACATTACTAACAACAACTAAATTTTTTCATAGAATGTAAAAAGATAGAAAATTTTCTGAAAAAATATTAACAATCATTTCATATCATCAAAAATATCATTTTATAAAAAAATTCTTATCTTGTATCATCATTAAACAACAAACTGTCAACAAACTGTATCACTGAACATTACATTACTGATAGTCTAAAATGTAAAATGTTTGATTTTATTTAGTTACTAAAAACTTATATTTTTGTAATTTGGTTTTTTATTGCTCTGTATAATAGACTCATTGAATCTATGGTCTACAGACTACAATATTTTATATTTGAAAAACATGAAATTTACATATATTAATGACAAAAATTTTTTAAGATGTATTTTCAAATTATACGTAACTGCATAAAAAAATGTTTATTATATAAAATGTAATAATTTAGCATAGATTATAAATAAAGTATAAATTTAACTGTAAATGCTTCTTTTTTTTATTTAATACTTTAAATAACTGTCCAATCTATAATTGATTGAGATAAGAAAAAAAAAAAAAAACTTAAACATTGCTTTAAACTGCAAAATGTTAATAAAAAGTTGGCTTTGAAAAAATGTATGTAATTCTCTGTTTCTGACAAATCATATTATTATTATTACTGTGCAATACAGAAACCAAATACCTGTATAAAAACTTAAAAAAAACTTAAAAACTTATATAAAACTTTACATACCAGTTCATTATTGAAATTACATGGTATAATATGACTGATGCTTTTTGTCTTAATGTAATTTTAAATAACTTTTATTGCAATTTAAAATAAAATTGAGCAATATTGAAATAAAAAAAATAATAAGCAAAATGGCCACTAATATATTTGTATTTTAAATTATTCCACAACAAATACATGAATATATTCATTATAATATCCAAAGATAAAAATGGAGTAATATAAGGCAAGTTTTTTAAATATTACTGCTTTCCTTATAGTAATTATTTAATCTGTTATAATATGAGAGAGATATTTTTTCATTTTATAACAAAACATCTTATGGCTGATATTTTAATACATGACATGATATTGTTTGTAAACTGTTGATATTCATAATTTTATTTACTTTATAAAATAGAATCTATAAAGTAAATTTCTTACTATAATAAGAAATAAACAAAGAAAGACTATTGCTATAGCCTCAATTATAGAATAAATGCTAGTGTAAAATTAATAAGAGATTTTCTTTTAGTTTTTCAAACTTTCATTTTTTTAATGAATCTAGCTATATATCTAACTATAAATCTAACTATTTAATTATATTTAGACAATATTACTATCAATAATTAGTAACTATTTTATCTACATATCCAGGTAAAATTATATATAAAAATTTCTCATTAATAATTTACTTTTTATTTGAAGAAATAAATCAATTTTAAAATTTCTATTTAAAATAGATATATGATTTAAAATATCAAACTAATTTCTAATTTAAGCTTATCTAAATTTCTCAACAAAATGAAGATTGAAATATATTCAATATACTATATTAATTATATTAAATATGGTTTAACTTTTAACACAAAATTTAAAATTTTATTTACAATAATAATTATTATTAAAATTCAAATATTATCATTATGCTTTTTAGAATTAATTTAAACAATGAGAAACTAGTAAATTCAGTAGCTAATATGGCTCAAATGGTTAAGGAATTAGCCTTCAGTTATGGGGACCAGATTTGGGTTAAAGATCGCAAATTTTTCATTGATAGCATATCCCAGATATGCCAGGCTATGATTTACACCAGCTGTCTGCCCAATTGTGAGCTTGGCTGAACACACAATAAACACAGCAAAAAAGGCTCTCTCAGTGCCCACAGTAAAAAACTCAGTAAATTATGAATTCTGAAATGTTATTCAGTGATAACTCAATACTACAAGCAACAAAAGTCAAAATTTCAATAATTATTCTTAAAATTATCCTAAAATGTGATCTCATGTAAATGAATTAAATTCAGATATTCCATTCTGTTGTATAAAATAAAGTCTATTTTATTCATCAAATCGTTTTACCGTGTGATAAGTTCTATATAACAATTTTGTGCTTACTTCCAAAGAATAAAAGAAGCAATCAAGTATTAAAGAATTACATTCAGTTTCATAATTATTTGTTAACTATTAACAATTTATTATGTTTTCATAAATATATTTAATTTTATAAAATAAACTTGACTGAGTAATAGACTTGAATACTTTAAATTGTGTGTTTAAAAAAATGTTTTGAATTGAATTCATTTCTATAAATGAAATTAAGGAATTATCAGTAAAGTTTCTATAATATGCAATTAAATTTACAATATGAGATTTTATTTAAAAAATTAATTACTACTAAATGATCTCAAAATCTTTATTATTTATGAATTTAATTACTTAAAATCAACTATTAAATTAGCACTTATTTTATACTAAATTTAAATTAAAACTTAAGATATTACTTTCATAGAAGACTATTTATAAAAATAGACTTTAAAAAATGCTATCAATAAAAGTCTAGAAATGAATTTTGTTAAAAATCTTTGGCATAAAATGGCATTCAGGAACTATAATTTCATAAAGTATGAAATTATTTAAGCTTTAAAATATTTAGTGCAAGAATATAATTATTTATATATATATACTGTAGCTGCATAATGATCAAAAACTGTCATAAAAAATTTAAATAAATGCATCATAAAATACATTATAAATGAATAAACTGTATAGTTTCAAAAATATTTAGAAATAATTTCAAATAAATTATATAAAATAAGTTCAAAATATTTAAACTTATTTTATATACAGTTTGGTATCAAATGTGTTTCCAATATTTTTAAAATAAATTATAATTTTACTAGTATATTCAGATCATTAAGTAGTTATCGGATTTATAAATATCAAAGTAAAAAGTACATTTATATTTAATAAACTTATAAATTTAATATAATGCAAATCAGTATATGATTTCTTCATACTATTTATATAGTCTGTAGATTCAAATTTAAAAACTATGGATGAACTATATGATAAAAATAAAAATACAAAAAATATATAGACCAATTTATAAATTTTAAATTAGGAAATTTGTACAAAAATTTCAAAGATTGAACATTACAATATATATCACAAATCACATTATTCAAATATATGACTGTTACAAAAAATATTTCTTAAACAATTATTATTTATAGAAATATTTTAGAATAAACTTTATTTACTTATTTATACATTAATAAAGTTTTACTTTCAATTTCAAAAATAATTAAAGATAAGAATTAAGTTATAAAAGACATTTTAATGTTAAACATTTTAAATAAAAAGTGTTTTGACTCTCTTAGCATCCCTGAGAATCCTTATTCTTCGATCTATATTTTTTTTGAATTATTAAATTCAATAATTAACTAACTATATTTTTTTTATTAAATTTTTGTAAAAAACATTATTGAAAAACAATTCACTAAATTGAGATTTTAATCTTTTAAAGATTATTATTTAAAAATTTCATATGTATAACATTAAAGACATAAATGAATTTAAAACATTTGATATGAAAAAAGATGATATAACTTTCTTACAATGAAAATTTTCATACATTCAGATCGTCATTGAATTTCAGTTATACAATTCATTATGAACTCATAACAAAATTTCTTGAATTCTATCCTGAAATAACAAAAAGCATATATTATTAAAATATATCTATTTCTATTTTTTATGGTTATATTATTATCAAAAATAATTTGCAAGTAAATTCTATTTCAAATATAAACTTTTTTAATTAACAAAGAAATTTTAGTTTTGACAAATCTTTTATAGAAAAATTAAGAATGCAAAAAATAAGTAATAAAACTTTTATAAAATATTATTGTATATTATTATAATATATAATAAAAATTATATTTTTAATTTATTTAATTTAATATATATGCACTCCACTTCAAATTAATAGTGGCTTGCCCCTGCACATCATACTTTTCCTTTAACAATAGAGTTGTGCCAGTCATCTATCTAACACCTTTCAGAGGAAATTTTTTTGAATTGAAGTAACAAGATTTCCAGTTTGCATTGGAAGTTCATATATAGTTAATTGGGGTCTCCTGCTTCTAAGGTTTCCATATCTGGTCTCGTCTTTCATCTAACTCTGTTCTTGAGATTAAGGAAAGACAGACGGACAACAGTAAGAATTTATAGGTCTACAATTTTTTTCAAATTTCAGCCCAATAAATAAAATATATTAATATTATTATACAGGATGATCCAAAAGTCAAGTAGACATTTAACAAAAATCAATTTCACTGAATTTTTGATCTATGGTAATGAGATTAGAACAGAAATACATAGAATCACAGGGGGATTTTTCCAGTAGTGTTAAAATGTTAAGTGATTTCTGTAAATGAATGACTTCAGGCAGCCCCATAACAAAAATTGCAGGGCATCAGTTCTGGAGAATTAGGTTGTCATTTATGTTAATGTGATGGCTTATCACTCAGTTCTCTCCAAATGATGAGAGTAGCAGCTGTTTCACAGGAGAAGCAACATAGAATGGTTTTCCATCCTGCATAAATGTAACAACGTCTAATACTTGCCTTTCCTCCAAACTACAGCTAGCACAGCTTTATAACTGGTTAGTATAATATTGACTTGCGATAGCAACAGTTTCAAAACCAGAGTCAAGGATTTCCTCAAAAAAATGGCCCTATCACAAAAGGAGGAGGGAATCCACATTACACTGTCACCTTTGACTGATGCAATGACATTTATGTGAAAGCTCAAAGGTTTCCATGCCAAAAACCTGCAGTTTTGGGTGTTAAGTACCATTGATAGTGGATGGGATTCATCCATCTACAAAACATTTGACAACCAGATGTCATTTGTGGTAAAGCATAATTTAGTGGACATAATTGACACTTAGTGGACATAATTGACACATAATGACATTTAGTGGACAATTATGTCCACTAAATGTCATTTAGTGGACATAATTGGAACTAATTTTGACACTTTCTGGAGAAAAAGTCTCCATGATTCTATACATTTCCATGCTTATCTTGTTATCAAAAATGCACTGAAATATCAATTTTTTTAAATGTCAACTGAATTTTGGATCATTATGTATGTGTTATAAAATCAAAATCAAATTTTACATAATTTTGGATTTGATTACATTACATTCAGATAAAAAAAATCTAGAAAACAAACAAAATTTTAATAGAATCATGACTATAATTGCAATTTTGGTTTTCAAATGTTTGAAATAAATCAATTACTGAAAGCTAAAAATTTAATGTAGATAAAAAATAGATATAGATTAATAAGCATATAGAATAACTTATACACAAACAATACAGTGTATGTACTGTATTTCTTTTAAATTATATTTTCTGATGCATATATATCAAGAAAATTTTATGCCAGTAAATCCCTATATTATAGAAATAAAATTTACAAATTTTAAACTTTAGTTTTCTAATTTCTTAACATAAAAATTACCTTAAATAATTCAAAATTATATATCTGTTTGTTTCTAAATAAATAAAATTTTTTAAGGATATTTTTATTCTCCCAATATAAATTGACATACTAACAAGAGAACTGTCAGAGTGTCTTCTAATAAATTTTAATAAAATTTAGTTAATAACTACGTTAAAAGTATACAAACTCTATTTTAAATTTGTAGCATTCACTAAAAGTGTTGATCAGAGTTATTAGCAATCAAATGTTGCACTACTTTATAGTAGTTTAACACAGTTATGCAAATTTTTAGAAGTGAAAGGGTCGCGGAGGAAGACGGCGATATTACATTTAGAATAAATTCTGGAATTTTCAAAAATGGTTGAAGAATTAATAAAATTTTGTATACTTTTAACATAATTATTAACTAAATTTTATTAATTCTTCTCCCATTTTTGAAAATTCCAGAATTTATTCTAAATGTAATATCGCCGTCTTCCTCCGCGACCCTTTCACTTCTAAAAATTTGCATAATTGTGTTAAACTACTATAAAGTAGTGCAACATTTGATTGCTAATAACTCTGATCAACACTTTTAGTGAATGCTACAAATTTAAAATAGAGTTTGTATACTTTTAACTTAGTTATTAACTAAATTTTATTAAAATTTATTAGAAGACACTCCGACAGTTTCCTTGTAAGTGTAATTTAATTCACACAAATAACTAAGCCTGAAATATACTAATAATCAAACAATAATGTCACTTTAATTATTGGGCTAGAACTTGTTAAAGTTCTAGCCCAATAATTGTTAAAGTTGTAAAGTTCTAGACCAACAGTAGAATTTGGCCAAATTCTTCCAATAGTTGTTAAGAAAATTATAAATACTAATATTTTTAAATTTACATTCGAAATGTCAAATATCCATATAGAAAAAATTTAAGGAAAACTTTATATTATAAAGAGCAATTGCAGTATGATGATAATTTTTTGTAAAAAAATCAGTTCTGATAATTTGGAAAATATAATTTTGGGCTTCTTTGATCATCATCAGTTTTTAATAAAGTTGAAATTTCAAACAAAACAACTATCTGAAAATATTAAAGTTTAGGATTTCAGTTACATGAGCATATTTGAAATCTAAAACATGAACATAGTATAAAATTTTATTACAGTTTAAAATTTTTCATTGTAATTGTAAGTTACAAAAACTGAATATATATGAAACATTAAAATGTTATATGGTATATTTAAGTTATGCATGTTATTACTAAATATTCTATTTGAATAAAAATTTATAATAATTAAAATTCATAACAGCTTGAAATATTTATTAAATTACAATACCTATATTTTATTTGTATAAATATAAAACTATCTTGAATCTATGAATATTTTGTATAAACATCTATTTAAAAATTAATATAAATGGACTTTTAAAAACAAAATAAAATGTTAGCATTCTAAATGATAAAAACTAAGATTTACATCTTAATCTCATGTATTATATTTGATCTTTCCTTGTACACAATTATATGCAAAAAAAATTTCACTAAATTTTAAAATGTTTCATTCCAATCATATAATTCTGACAGAGCAGTAGGCTGACTATGTCATTATTATTTTATATCATACATTATACTTTAGGAATTAAAGTACAGGTAAATTAATATCAAGTTACATCATAAAATTTATGAGACCAAAAAAAAAAAACATTAATACTGTTTTATATTAATCAAGAAAATCTAAACTAATGGTGATTGGTTGTTGTATCCACATCTATTCCTACTACTACTAATATCTATAACCCTTGTCAAGTCCATTCTCTACAAAAAAAAAATTTTGTAGTTCGGTCATTGTTTTAAATTGTATGGTAAGTGTTCAAAAGAACTGAACTTTTAAAAACTAAACTCTCCTAGATTTTAAGAAGCATACTACAATAATGAAAAGACTACCTTCCTGCAAATATATTAATTTTCTGTTTTGAACAACATTGCTTTGCAGTTTACGACACTAAATGGACAAACAGTTTCTCTTTTCTTAGATGATTTTAAAACTAAAAATGGATTATATGTATATATATGTTAAAGCTGAACAACTGCAAAATTAATTACACTGTCAAATTATCAGCCAATAATATCGCTGTATTTTCTATCCTTAAAATTTTTTTATTTCCTTGTTCAAAATCAATATAATTCATTAATTCTGTCAATTCAAAAGAGAGAATTTATATTTCATTATAGTTCAGTATTTTTTAATCAAAAATAAAATCACTTTTACAAGATTTTAGAGAAATTTTGATTATTACCATTTTTTTTTTTTTAAATATTAGCTGAAGATTCATTTGTAATAATTATATGTAAAATTAACACATATACAAGTAACTATGTAATTTAAATGCATCTGATATATTTTATAATTTTTGTTTTAACTATTTTTTTTCTGGGAGTATTAATTAATTCTTTTAAACGATTTATGCACTTTTATATTTAATATAGAAACAAACAAAATAGATCACTTAATGATACTTATAGATTTTATTAATATTACCTGTACTTTCAAGAATTATCTAATATTCTTCAAATAAGATGTACTGTTGTATTAGCTTGAGGCAAATGACCATATCGTATTAATTCGTCATAACTAGGAGGAAGATCTGATAAATCTTGAATTCTTTCATTTCTATATTATATAGTTAAAAAAGAATTTGATAAATGAAAAAATTTTAAACATTATATATATTCACAATGATATTATTTTACTAATTATTAGAGATGATTAATAAATAATTTCAAAAATATTTATTCAAAAATTTCTAACAAACATTATACAAACTTATTGTTTGATTTTCAACATAGCAGTAATTTGATTCTTTAGTTAAAGATTTCATTTTTAAAACATTTACTAGTTTAAAAAATTATTAACAAATGAATTAGAAGCATTAAAATTCAATTCACAGAACAAAAGTTTATAATACAGTTATAGAAAAATTAAGTTATTATTCTCTCTCATTAGTGAGGTTGTGGCCGAAGTTTTCAACGCAAAAACGTGAACATCAGACATTCATGTTTTCACATTCAAAACTTTGGCCGCAACCTCGCTATTATTTCTCCAACATAAGCTGCAATTAAGATCAGACTACTTTGTTTGTGGATCAACATTGTACATTTTGCAATGGTATCAAAAATGCTATTGTAAAGATTTTAAATCTTACAGAGAAAAATTGTTACACATTACTTTTGATAATTTAAATAACCAAATTTTTCCTTACTACACCAAAATCATTAAAAACAATCATCCTGTGTGTTAATTTCATGAATTATACATTTGCAAAATTAATTAAAACTTTGTTTCTCTATTTATTCTTATTCATTTGTTAAACTGGAAGACTAATATATTTTTGTATTCTCATGATACAAGTAATTCTAAATGGTCAAATAAATGAGATGAAAATGAACTGTTTTATTAAAAAAATATATTAATAAAAATTATTTTAATTAATTTATTTTTACATTTTTTAATGTATCACATATGCTCTGTGATACACTAATTTAACTTAATTGTAGCAGAAAATAGCCTGATTAATTAAGGCTGTCATTTCGTTTAGTATTAATACATTGGGCTTTGGGATGTTTATATATACTAAAACAATTACTTCATAAATGAAACAATAGGCTAAAAGATGAACTAGAAATGTACTAGAATAAAGTCACTTTTGTACTTTGGTAGGAAAAACAAACAAATGATAAGTTTTCACCAGAACATTAATATTTCACAGGTTTCATGTACCATAGCATTAAATTTTTTGGGAACAAACTGTATAACAAATTTGGTACAGTAGGATAACAAAAGATCTCAATACAATTTATTTATTCCAATCAATAACTGTATTTAAAAAACAAATTTTATCTAACATAATTTTAATGTGAACTTTAAGAAAATGTTAAAAAAATAATTTCTATTTTTACTTTTATCTCTAATTTCCATAATTTTGATGCAATTTTAGACCAATATTACCAAAAGAATTTTGCAATTTACACTTAAAATATTTTATATATAACACACATATATTTCTACTCCAATGGATAATTTTATGTTAACAAATATACAAAGATAAGATAAAAATAAAGCANCAGTTATAAGCTTAGCTTTTTTATTATATACTCCAGGATTTTCCTTTGGCCGTCCATATCACGTGTTTTAGGGCATACATTATTATAATCAGGCTACTTCTTGTCGTAGATACATGAGTACTTTCAGATGTTTTTGATAAATCTTTCCAGATCTATTCTAGAGTAGCCACAAGAGAACATACACAATAGCTCGTTTTCCACCATTTCTGCACCGTGTACCAATGACCTAGATTTCATTGACTTCTGATTGATGGATGGTACCATTTTACAACTGTATTCACAACAAAAGTTGAACACTGCTCAACTCACTTTTACGCTGGTTTTACGACCTGCTCAGGCATAAAATATCAGGGTCACATGATTTAAAGCTTTTACGGTGAAGGGTTATACACCCGTTTTTATGCTAGTGAAGTCTCGGCCTAAATAAAAACATAATAAAGACATTTAGGCAGTTTAATTTTTCAGTAGTATATTAATAATATAGAGTTTGTTTTCTTGTTATATATCACAATCCAGTAATATAGCCAGAAAAAAAATTTCAGAAGAAACCAATTCTTTAAAATACTTTGAAACTTTTTCATTGAATGAAAACTATTGATATTACTAATTTCAATTTCCTCCTATATTTTATTTCACTTTATATTTAACAGCCATTAAACAAAGTAACAAAGTTTAAGATGTAAACAAATGCAGGGAAAGTCATGTTGTCATTTTTCTTTAATTATCAGGGTCTTGTTTTTGTGGAATTTCTTGAGCATGGCTATACAGTTAATGATGAACAGAACAAATCACCTTTGGCAACCTGCATATCAGCCTCCAAAACAAATGCCGAGATTGTTTAACTTAGGGAGTAATTTTGTTGCATGCACATGTCTATTATTATGCAAAAAGTTACTCTCAACTGTCCAAACAACAAAAGGAAAAATTTACAGTTAAAATGAGAAATAACGGATCATCCATCCTATAGTCCTGATTTGTTGCCCAGCAATTCTATATTTTTGCAGACCTCAAGAGGAGCTTGAAAGGCAAGAAGTTTGCATTGGACACAGCAGTGGAGGAGGATGTTAGAAATTGGGTTCAATCCCACCTAAGAGGATTTTATAAACACAACATCAATCAACTAATGTCACAATGGAAGAATTGTGTTTTCAACAATGGTTATTACAAACATGTAAATTAATTTGAGTGTTCTAGTAGCCTCTGATACATTTCATTTGACTATCCCAAATATCAATGTTATAACAGAATTTCAGAAAAAGTAACTACTGTATTTATGAACTATTACTTTTAATACCTCTTACCTTGTCAAGATGGAGTTTTGCACAGAACTGAAGGTTAGAGTTAAAATAAACTGATTACCTTATACTGGAGGGAGGCTATAAAGTTTATAGCCACCCTCCCTAATCTTTAAGATCAGGAACAAACTGATGTAAAACGTTCAGAAATGTCACTGTCAAGTGCCATGACACTGATGATATAAGATTCTCCTAACAGATCCCAGTTTTATAATATCTCTTTGACCTTTGTCAATGAGATATATATTTAAAATATTGAATACGTAAACGATAATTTATATTTTAACCCTTATGCAAGAAATAAGTAATAAATAAACCAACAATATACTGTATAAATTTAATTTTCAGTAAAACAATTGTTCTGAAGTAGAATTACCCTACAGACCACTAAAATATCACCGTGAACTCCCAATTCGGTATTTTTTTTCTGTGGATCCCCAGTAATGTTACATGACTAGACCAGTTGAGAACCCCTGATCTAGTCATTTGTTGAAGCACTAGCACATCCTATAGACATTTGTTTCAGAATCTATCTAGTGTTTTTGGTCACTTCTTGAAATGTTAACCTGGATTCTGTAGATGTTGAAAGTAGCATAGTTATTTAGCATCTTTAGTAGTAGTTATTAGTAGTTATTTAGCATCTTTAGTAGTATATTTTAGCATCTTTCTAACAAAACTAGGCATTTCATGTAATGTCTAATGGCTTATTAGCTGCTAGAGTTTCTGGATTATTTCTAATGGTTGTGTGACACTATTCATGTTGTGACAGGTGCTTACTGACGTAGATCTACATCTACATCACATGAATATCTATGTAAGTACCTGCCACTACAGCATCTCACAAGCATTAGAGGCTTATTACCAACACCTGAATGTTTTGATACTTCTATATGTTGTAATATGCAGATTCCTGGATGTGTGTCTTCAATGGCAATTTTTACATATTTTAAGTTTATCGTAGTTTGGCTCTTTCTCTCTAAAAGAACTTTTTTCCATATCCATCTTAGATTCCCTGGCTCTTAATAAGGACAGCTGAATGGTGAGGGATGGGGCCAACATATCTCAAACAGAATGTCAAAGAAAAATTCCTAGTGATTTACATATCAGGATTGCACTTGGGTCCCAGAGTGGTAAGTTGATATCCTAATTGTCTTGGCTTTCTAGTCATTGTACATTTGATGCAAAATCTGCATAGTCTATTTTCAACAGTCGCAGTGCAGTCAATGTTAGAAAATAAAGTTATGTTGCCTTATTGCAAACATTACCCGTTTATTGTTAGCTTGAGGATTTATAATTTTGTTATGCTTGCAACTAAACTTACTATAAGGCCGAGACTCCACTAGTGTAAAAACCTTCACTGTAAAAACTTTTAATCATGTGACCTATTTGCGTTTGCATCTGGATTGCAATGGAGGTCCAGCTAGCGAAGTTTTTATGGTGAAAGTACTACCAAAGTTAAGATTGTATACGTGATATATCTACGATGATTATATTCTATGAGTTTTTTCTGTACTATAATTACAAATGTAGTAAAATAATATCTTTACTTTCATATATTAACTTTTATTATTGTATTATTAAGATAATATACAACAGTTATAAGCTTAGCTTTTTTATTATATACTCCAGGATTTTCCTTTGGCCGTCCATATCACGTGTTTTAGGGCATACATTATTATAATCAGGCTACTTCTTGTCGTAGATACATGAGTACTTTCAGATGTTTTTGATAAATCTTTCCAGATCTATTCTAGAGTAGCCACAAGAGAACATACACAATAGCTCGTTTTCCACCATTTCTGCACCGTGTACCAATGACCTAGATTTCATTGACTTCTGATTGATGGATGGTACCATTTTACAACTGTATTCACAACAAAAGTTGAACACTGCTCAACTCACTTTTACGCTGGTTTTACGACCTGCTCAGGCATAAAATATCAGGGTCACATGATTTAAAGCTTTTACGGTGAAGGGTTATACACCCGTTTTTATGCTAGTGAAGTCTCGGCCTAAATAAAAACATAATAAAGACATTTAGGCAGTTTAATTTTTCAGTAGTATATTAATAATATAGAGTTTGTTTTCTTGTTATATATCACAATCCAGTAATATAGCCAGAAAAAAAATTTCAGAAGAAACCAATTCTTTAAAATACTTTGAAACTTTTTCATTGAATGAAAACTATTGATATTACTAATTTCAATTTCCTCCTATATTTTATTTCACTTTATATTTAACAGCCATTAAACATTAGTAAATTTAATTTTTAAAATATACATTTTTTGCTGTATTATTATATATATAAAAATTATTATTTACCAAAATTATTTTGATTGAGAATGTGCTTTTTGTTGTATTATTATTATAGAAGAACAAAAAGTACATTCCTCCTGTGTGTGGTAAGTCCTCTTGAGAACCGAAATTTAGCACTCACATATTGTTATAAAATTTTGCTATAATTGATATATTTTTATTAAAAAAAAAAAAAAACATTTTTTCGAATAATTTACATTCAAATAAGTTAAAACATACAGAAATTCAAAAACATTCCTCTATTTCCTTTTAAACCATGTACTAATAAGCCATTAGACATTATGTGAAATGCCTAACTTCTAAAATACACACTTTTTCAACATTTTCAGAAGCTAGGTTAGCATTTCAAGAAGTAACCAGAATAACTTATTTGATTACAAAACAAATGTCTAATACTAAATGTGATCACATTTCAAGAAATGACTAAGTACTTCTTGAAATGTCAATTTCAGCATGTGGCTACAACATAAATATATAGAATAATTTATGATTTTCATAAAAAATTTCACATCAAAAATTAAAAGAAACTGCAATAATCTATTAATGAGTAACAAAACATTACTCATTAATTGTGAATTGTTAATTGGGTTGCACCATTCCAGACCATCATTCTGATATTTTTAACTTTCAATAACTAACAATGTCAAAAACATTATTCTGTTATTTAATAATAAACATCATATTTATCTTTCTGTAATTTTCTGTTCTGAGAAATATGCTAACTAAATTTTGCATTTCCTCTGTTAGATCAAATTCCAAATAATTAACAATAACTTATTTAATTTAAATATTATTAATAATTAATAATTTAATGATAAACTGCAGGTTTAATATATTACCTCACAGCAGAAAATTGAGAAATTGTTGGATGTTGTTGGCAGTTTCTTGCAGATGGTAATGATCTATTTGCTCTATGTCTAGACTGTCTATGATGGTGACTATGTACAGAACTGTGTACAGTCAATTGTGATTTAGCTTGAGATTCTGTTGGTGACTGAACAGTATGACAATCTGTGCATACTTGTTGATTACTATGCTGAATAACATTTTGTGAAACATCAGCAGCAGTTGCCACATGAAGTGGTGGAATAGTTGTTGAAACTGGATTGTAGTGAATTGGACGTGACATTCTTGATCTATGTTTTTTCTTTTTCCTAACATAATGAAGTGTTAATAATAATAAAGAATTCACTGCTATTAAAAGAACACCAATATATACAAACACTAGCAATTCTCCATTTTGTGCATGCATTATTGATCCTGCTACAACCAATGCTGTTCCTGTGAGAATTGCAGTAATAAATAAAATTTTTTGAAAGTAATAACAAACTTCATGAATGTCACAATCTGTTGAGGACATGACTGTACTTGTACTTCGACCAGCACTTGTTCCACAAATACTTTCGGATGGTCTTATATAATCTGGTTGAGGTGCAAATGGTGGCATTCTGGACACAATAGTTGGTTGATGAGTTGTTTGCAGAGGCAAACTCATAATTTGTTCATGAATTGCGTCTGGCATATTTATATCTGGTGAATATAAAAAGTTTCAATTTAACAGAAACATAATTGAAGTATAAATTTACCAAACTATGTGATTAAACTTACTACAAAGACAAAATAAAAATAATTTGTACCCACTAAAATTTATAGTTTCAGGGCAATTTCCAACAAGAAAATGCAAAGCCCACACACAAAAAAATAATCATGGCCTGGTTTCAGAAAAAAGAGCAAATCTCATCATAATCTTGGCCTGCACATAATCTGATTGAATACTTGTGAAAGTATCTAAAATGCATAATCAATAAACAAAAATCAACAATACTGCTGCAGCTTTGTAACATGTTGCTGGAAGAATAGTATCAAATCAACTAAGTGCAAATTAAGCAACTAGTTGATTTGATGCCTAAATGAAATGATTCATCAAAGAATCAACTTAATTAACTTGTAAGTAAACTAACAGTATTGAAATCTAGCATGCTGTGTGAAATAAATTGACTTGGGTCAAAGAAATTATTTTGCATATTCATTATTAAAACTATTGCAATTTTTTTCCATAATCAGTTTATGTATTCTTCACTCTCTATGTCCAGTATCTGTTTTTCACAGAAGCTTCACAGGCTCCCTGGAACTGTTAATTTTGGAAGTGTAAACTATTTTGATTTTGTCTTTGTATATATGATTTATAGAAATATGAATTTCAGAATTCATTATTATTATAATAAAATCTTATTTCAGCCACTAGTTCCTAATAAAAAACTTGAAAATACTAATTTGAAATAAATAAATAGTTTAGTATTTCAAATATTTTGGTCTTGTTAATTTAAAATTATTTATTTATAAAATATAGTAAAACAAAATATCAGTCAAAATTATTCAAAACTAATTTATTGAGAGCATTAGAGAGATTGCAACTGGCGTTTTCATCATGAAAACATGTATGTCAGACATTCAGTGCTGCCTTCCTGTAAACTAGAAGTTTGACAAGGGCATTTGGAACGTCGAGCATGATTCCACTGATGTTTCAAATGCCATTGCCAAACTTCTAGGTTTACAGGAAGGCAGCGCTGAACATCTGACATACACATTTTCATGATGAAAACATCAGCCGCAACCTCTCTATTATCAAGTGAATACTTATAATTAAAAATTTTTGTCTTATAATTTCAACTACAGTCAACCCCCCTATAACGTGCGTTCCTATAATGGAAATTCCTATAACATAGCGAAAAAATTGCAGCAACATTCGTTTAAAGGAGCTCCTAAAACGTCGTCGCCGACTCATTTCGCAACAAGATTGATAGAATCTGGACCAATAGTGGATGAGCAGCCGAACTACTTTCCTCCGCCCTGCGCCACGCTACGGAGCAGCTAAATTGAGTTTGCTATCGTCTGTACAATATTATATATAAATTATATATAAATTAGGTACTGTATATATAATTATATATTAACTTATTGTAACTATATTATAATTAAATATATAATTTCCGCCGTCTAGCGTGGCACCACGCTACGGAGATTTTAGGCAATAAGTTGAGTTTATTATCGTCTGTACAGTATGTAAATTAGGTACCGTAAGTCTAATACAGCACTAATTTTATACATTTCTTGTGAAAGAAACACTTCTTATTCAACGGCCATAAAAATTATTTATATTAATGATGTCTCCAAAGGTCAAGTTATTTTTCTGCGAAAAATTATTTATCAGAAATCGCGGCCGCCGTTTCGTGTGCTGTTCCGCGACGATG